GGAGGAATTCATTCATGGATAAGCTAGAACAATATTCTGAAGACCGGCTGTTCTAACTTGATGTCCACGGTCTCAACGCAGACATGATAATGAAAAATCGATTGTGTTTGTGCTTAGTAAAACCCAAGTCTGGTACGTAAATGAAATGAGAATAATTTGTGGATCTGCTCTCTGCTGCATGAAAGATAACAATAAACTTAAATAAAAAAACAAACCTAACGAAAATAAACAAGATAAATTACAGGAAAAAATGATATGCAAATGAAGGAACGGAACGGGACGGGACAGGATACGTGACGTCACTGAAACCAACAGCCCTACATACGACAATAGTTGTTTAACGACCGTTTCATCGGAAGAGAGTCATGATTTACGGGCTGACAGAACTGGAGTAACAATGCTTGAGTCGAACAGAATACAGTATTAGACCATAGATTCAAATGGATGTCGGAATAGTATGCAGAGAGATATACTATAATCTTCTGTCATATGGATGGAGTTGACTAACAACAGCTGGATGAAAATGCAACGATTTGAGAGCCAGCTGATAGCCTCTGAAATGGTGTCATTCCACAAATCTGTCGGAGCGGGCTTTTAGAAGTAGTTACATTTACTAACTATACTGAAGAAAGTTTTCATTGAGCTGCACTGTCAATTGGGCTTCATTTTCCAGAGGCGAACAGACGAAAGTTAAAATCCAAGATCAATCAAGCTGCATAAGCTGAAACAAGAAATGATCAAAGATAAGGCGAGAGAACACCTCATTCAAAACAATACCTGAGCTAGAAGATAAATGAAAGTTTAAAAAATGAAATCGTTGGATACGAAAGGAAAATGGACAGAATGTAGTATGAAATGCAGTATTCAGATAAAAACTGCCGAAAAAGCTACTACTATGGCATGATTATAATAAATTCATTTCTTGAAAGCGTCCGTCCGTAAGCACTTTCTGAAGTAACAGATAGAAAGGAATTTTGCTCAGGATCTCCACAAGAGACCGTAAAACAAATGGACATCAAACTTATTTCGTATAATCGAGTATCAAAGTGTTTACCACTACGAGATCCCGAATTATCTATATCCCCGCAAGGACAGATATCCTACAGACATTTTGTTTACCGTTTTCAGCACGCATTTGCAGAGATCATCATGTCGTTAAATAATGCAAATGGACGTCGTTAAAAGTCAAATGAGTTATTGCAACGTAACAAAAATAAATCATTTGCTACTTATTTACTTTTTATTTGGAATATTTTTAATTTATTCTTCTTGACCAGTTGAAACAAAGGCGCTTGGTAACATAAAAACTAATGCAATTATTAAAGTACTAGCGAATAAGGACTGAAATTAGCATTAAATACAGTTCTATCAGCCGATTCAAATTCTAATTAAGAGTTCGACAATCATGGCTCAAATTATTGTTTTCCATTTTAAGTTATCCGACTTGTGAAAAATC